CTTCATGCTTCAGCTTTTAGAAGCCAGCTGAAGTGCTGGGTATACAGAGACTATCAAGCACATTGCTGTGTTTTGATGATCTGTATTGGTGGGCAGTAAAAATATCAGAGATCTAATAGACACCCGAGTCTCCATAAACAGAACCTGTCACCTCCAAAGGCTGTCACATAGGGGCTTATTAGCAAAATGTAAGTGATTTTTTTTTTTTTTAAAGGTAATAAAGAAGTAAACAAAACAAAAAAATAAAACCAACCCTGCGTACAACCGTGAAGTGATCCGCCTATAGTTCTGTAACATAACAGGGCTCCAAAAAGCTCAGTAAAGGCGATCAGGTGGAAGAAAGGGGTCAGCGCAGAGAGGGCCTCGAGGAAGATCTTCTCACCATCCGCGGTTTCGGTGTCACCAGGTGCCATTGGTCTTGGGTAGGCAAAGCAGAAAAGGTAGGGAGTGGAGGATCAGGCAAGGCATCTAGCTCCAATGAAGGTAGATCCAGGGCTTTAGTAAATGCAGCAAGATCAGAAGGTCACCCCAAAATGTATGTCTGACCATTCTTCCGGACTGATAGAGAAAAGGGATATCCCCACCGATGGGGCAAACCCATATCCTACAGCGCCTTAGTAAAAGGACGTAAAGCCCCGCGCTTACAAAACTAACAAAAATGAATAAACAGGGTGATGTTCCGCTATTGGTACATCGGCACTATGCCTGAAAACACACACCAGTAGCTGGCATTAATGCAGCCTAAATGGCGGACCGTAGTACAGAGCATTCTGTCTGGTCTGGGATTCAGACCTCAGCTTGGTGAAAATGTTATTCACTGGACCTCCTTGAATTTTAATTCACTATCCCTGATATAGGTGTCTTACCATAAATAAAACTTTTACTGTTTACTCTTACCTGTGTGTCATAGGACGTTTGCATATATTTTAATATCTGTACCTTTTTTTCCTTTCTTGCTTTTGTTGTTATACTTGCTAAATGTTCTGCAACACAATTCATAAATCTTTCGCCCAGCCAAACGCTGGATTAATGCCGTTTTCTAGGCTTTTTTGCCACTCGATGGAGCCCAGGAACAAAAACACATTTTGAAGTAAAGTAAGAAAACCTTTGAGCTTTATATTGCTGCCTGTGACTTCCTTATCAGGTCAACCCTGTTCCCATCTTTTCTTGTTCTCATGTCACAGCTGACCGTTCTTCACTCTATTCAGAACTGAGTTTTGGCTGGAGTACAGCTTTTCCAGTTCACCCAAAAGTATTTTTTGAGTTAAAGGTTTAACTATGTGGGCTGACCTTCTTATGTCTTGGATACTCCAAAAAAGACAGGTGTCTAATGTAGTTCCTTTCAGTGGCATAAAAATAGCCATAGCAGCCCACACAGCTGATATGAGGTCTGGGGTAGAAGGGAGCCCCATTCACAGATCACAGATCCACCCTCTGTGCAGTAGGAAGCATTTGCTTATCTATCTTGGCAGTGTAGGTTTATTGCCCTCTGAACTTCTACTGCAGACTGAAATTAACCCTGTATGCCGAACAGCCACAAATCCTAGAGTTACACCTCTGTTAAAACCTTATAGGAGGGCTGAGGTTTGTGCTTCTACAAAATAAAAGCTAAATGAAGATACGAGTTTAAAGCAGTGTGTATTAGTGTTGAAGAGCAAGTGTGTGCAAGAACGTTAATCATTCCATCATTATACAGAATATGATTCTGGTTTTCAGTATTAGTGCTTCTATAACTCCCCCCCCCCCCCCCCTCGTCGTCCCTTTTTACATAACTCTAAGGGG